TAATAATAATAACAACAATAATAATTATTATTATTATTATTATTATTATTATTATTATTATTGTTGTTGTTATTATTATTATAACCTAGTGACGTTTTGCTGTTAATACTTTTGCCCTCGTCAACAGACCAAGTGGAACATATGAATTTACTGACACAATACAGCACACAACAATATTTCTATTTGCATATAATATCCACTGTATTTCAGTATGGTGTTCATCAAACAAGGTAGCAAATGCATACATAAACTGATTTTTTTTTATTTTTGTGTTTATTTCACATTATGTACTGTATTAGGCTTCAGTTTTAATAAATGCAAAAGGATAACTAAACTAAGTAAAGATGAGTGTCATGTCTTGTCCCTCTGCCCATGAATCCAAGTGGTTAAACCATAAATGTATATTTAAGAAATTAACCCTGTACTACACAACAGAAAATATAGATGTTACAGTAACCACCTTTGAACTGCAAAAAATACTGAAAGTACTGTACATTGTATTGTATATTTTCCCTATGACCTCAAATTCATATCCAATTATCTGCTTTGGTAGTTAAAATGAATAGGGCAATTCATTTTATATTGTTTGGAAAGTTAGACAACTGGAATGTAGATTCACAGTTTCCACATCCAAGCCTTCAATCTGCTTCAGGCTAAGCTCCTGTTGTGCCCACATACCATATGCTTCTGACACATTGACTGTTGCATTGCATAGTAGCATAATGTTAAGCTTTCCATTCTATAGTACAATCAAAGAAAGTAATGAAAAGGTCTATAAAAACATATCTCATGGTTTGAGTCCATCTCATATGTACTGTAGTACTGCAGGTTTTATTTGATGCAACCCAAAACACTGAAAAAGATTTAGAACAGATGGATGTTTTTTGCAAACCAATCACTTACAGTATGTGTACTCAGAAAATTGTTAAAGGACATTCAGTAATATTTTATTATTATATGCATTGAACACATTTTTCCCCTTCAACATGTTTACCAAAATGTCACTTTATGTGTTCACCATGCATACAGTATTTATGCTAGCATGCCACAAACTTATGTTCTTATTTTGTGTGAAAAAACACAAAAACTAAATGATTTTGTGATTCAATAATTATAATGAAAATTCATATGGTAAAGGTAAAATGTGGATGGAAATGAGAAGCATTGCAAACAAATATGTGATAACTCCTATAACTCCTATAACATTGTGAATAAAACACAACTGTGCGGTCTAGGCGTGTAGGAAGGGACAGAGGATCCCACATACCTTCAAATAAGAGTGTACTTAAACTAGACTTAACCAAATTCAAAATAAGAGAAAAAATCTTTGGACTTACCGAGAAGGTCTTCGGCGGGACTCCATACTCTTGGAGGATTTAGATGAACCCTAAAAACATGTATATTTGATCAGTGCATTATCAATAATATTAATGGAAATATGTTGATATAATAGTATTCACTCAAGCTAATAACTATGTTAAGTTTTGAAGCTTTTGACATTTCTCATATGTAACTGATACCAGATTTTGGTAAAAACATTATGTCTATGGTATTGATTTCAGTCAGCTCCTGCAACTATTTCCAGAAGAGAGAGAAAGAAAGAATGAATGAATAATTAATAATTTAATTATTAATCAATGATATTGTAATTTATTTTGTAAACATTTTATATAACATTATCACAACTGTTTTACAGTTATACAGTAGCATAGTTGTGGTTTTAGTATATATGAGAATACTTGTGTATGTATGTCTTCTTTATTAAAAAGATCATGAAATAAGTTGATGAAATAAATATATAAAGATTATCTATCACTTTTTAAAAACACAGAAAACAGTATTGGACACCTGGAAAACACAGTTAGGCTTGTTAAGCAAATGTAATTCAGTAAAAGACATGAAGAAATTACAAGAGGTTGTTTTGTAAAGCTTGTTGTCAATATATCATTGTGTTGTGACAGGGATGAACTTTAATGGTATAACAATAACTGATTTAAGACTTTTCCACAAATTAAAATCTCATGGTTGGAAAGAGAAAAGAAACTCCATTCCCTGACAAAAGGTTCTTAAATGAAAATGTGTTCACTCCCTTCAGTTCCAGAATCTGAAAAAGTAAAACTAAAAGCCACAGTTAAATGATTAAAGATTATTTGATATTTAGTAGCCTAACAAATCAAGGATTTTGCCCATTAATGTGATCTTAATTAAAAAAATATCAGAATGCCATTAATTTATATCCAGGTTTTTAAATGTTCAAATGTTCAATTTTCATAAATACTAGACAGTGTAGCTGCATTTGTTTTAATGGCTGATTGAACAATTGGGAAATTCTTTTCATTTGTAACGTCTTTTTAAATTAAATGTTTTCATAAAATTTTAATTGCAATTCTTAAGGCAAAAACATGTTAATTTCATAAGATGATGTAACATGATCATTAACTACAGTATAGTATATACAGTACACAGTATATATAGTATAATTAAACACTGTATATATAGACATACTGTAGACATACTGTAGTTAAAAGTATTGCCCCCCCCCCATCTCCAGCTGTAGTCTTCACTACTTTACTAAGCAAAATAACATTCGTTTAACTATGACAACAAATTCATCCATAATAATGACCACTTCTAGTGAAATAATTTTGGACAGATTGTAAATACTAATTTCTGTAGGTATACTGATTGAAATAAGTTTTCAGTTTATAGCAGAAATCATAATTTACAAAAGAACAAAACATGAGTGGTTCTGCATGTGTAACAGAAGAATTATACAGTAAATTAAAGAGTAACAGTTATGAGCTTCCAAGTCAATTCCAGTATAGTTATTTCTGGTTAACAATTATCAAATCATTGTGAGTCCCTTATTTACTTTCACTGGCTTTATAAAAAGGCAATAATACTTTATTATGAAAAAGGTGTGGTAAGAAGGGTGGAGATATAAAATTGAGGTCTTTAATTCCCAAATTGAAGTGATGCTCTTTGATTCAACAGTCAATTTAATGAGAAATTGATTCAATTTTCACTTACTGAGAAACGTAAGAAACAATGTTACAAAAATAAACAGTCATTGGAGAACTTTTTTTAAACTGTAACATCCAAGACACTTTCATACTCTGCAAGAAATCCCCAGAGGGGGACAGACTGGTTTATCAGAGGAGTGAATAGGTTGACTCAACCCTGATGAACTTCACTGCACTCCAATGAAACTGCATAGAGCAACGTGCTTTGGTTTTCTCTTCATCCCTGGCTTCTGTTCCACAGGAAACAAACAGACTTCACATTAGAACCTATTAACAACTCCTGTGCTCGTGCATTGACCCTATTCACAAAGAAGCCAATCAAAAGGAGACATTCAGTCTCTGTTGACATCAGTACATGGAAGGCAAGGTAAGTAAGAGTGCTGTGATCTTAGCCATCTATCACGTAAAACACTCTAAATCTAGATGACGTTTTTTCTTCATATTTTCTGGATATAAAATTGACAAGTTTTTCCCTTCATAATTATGTATAAAAGCTTTTATATAGTACTTTACACCTCTTGACTGTTTAAATTTCAAGCATTATAAAGAAGTTTTGATTAAACTGCATGTATTTTAAGATATTCCATGTTATACAGTATTTGTACACAAAATTAGACTTACTGTATAGTGACATATAGAGCAACAGCACTAATTTAATATATAAAATGTGCTATGGCACATTTAATACAAGAAAAATTCCAATGCTACTAATTCTGTTCACAGATATCATTTATCCACTTTATTAATGAGTCACCATCTCAGCTTCTCTAAATAATTTGTTTCACTGGTCTGCATTAAAGTAAATAGTTTTTAAGAAACAGGAAAACAACACACAGACCACAGCTAACATTAACAATTTGTGACAGTAGTGCTGAGTAAAGTGCTTGCTATTGACTTGAACATTATAATATCCGCATCAAAACAGTTGTAACATCACTGGGGCATTGCATATATTGTCAGGAACTAAATAAAAATGCTTATTGTCCTTGGAAATATGTTAAAAACAGTCATATTCCACTTTGAGTTTTCCACATGAGTGTTCTCTATATTGTATATGGTTACAGTATAGCACAATATTTTCTTTAACACAAAACAAATGTTAATACTGAAACAATGTATGCAGTTACAGTACTTAAAGCCCAAACGAATATACATTTCTGAATATCTCCAGCAAACATAGCAAAAAAGCCTGAGAGCTCAGAGACTAAACATTCAAGCAAATTACCTCCCACCCTGAAATCACCCCCTGAAAAAACAGAGGATAGTAAATACATCTTCTTTAGCGACTTGAACATATCGAAGCCTCCAAAATCAAATCAAAACTTTCAACATTTCCTTGATCTGCCTACAATTATGACTCTTGAGAAATCTCAAAAAGAGTCTGTAAAACCCATCATTATTATTAAAAACATCTGCAAGCACTGGTTACAAGGATGATCCAATACACTTCAAAGAAGGGGGGCAGGCAGTTTTAGTGCGATAGAAAGTTTCAGAGAAAAACTTGGAATGAAAATACATGCAAAAGCTAAGCATACGCAACCAAAAATGAAACTTCAGTGGAAGGATTATAACGCATATTTTTTCTTTATGACCCTTGAACCCTACCTTAAATAGGTAGCCAGTGCTCCATCGCCAGGGCATTCTCAAAGAAGCAAACTTTCTCCGGAGAGAGTTGCTGGGGTTCATGGTGGAAGGAGAAGGCTGACTGTTGTTATGCATTCTGTTCTCTAAACTATCCTTTTTCTATGAAAAAGGGCTCTATTTTAAGCTGAAACTGTTTACAGGATGCCACATGCCTGGCGCCGATTTACAGTACAGCCAAGATGCTCTCTCTCTTTCCCCTCTCCACAGAAACTCTCCTCCCTCTTTCCCATGTTGTGTTTTGCTGGCATCCAGATTTCTGTAGACTTTCTCGTCTCTGCCCCACCCTGGTCCCTGTCGGGGTCAGACTCTCATCAGCTGACTCCTTGGAGCTGGAAATGAACTGCTAATGTACTGCATTGTAATTTTCCTAGTGCTTAACCCTCTCCACACCAGGCTGCTACTCTGGTGGCCTTTTCCCTTAAATCTGTTTCCTATTATAACTCTCATTGAAGTGCCCTGTGGGAGACTTAGGAAATAGAGTGCTACACCATCAATTAGTGTGTGGGGTGACAGCATTGGAGAGACTGTTATTGAGTGTTTAAAATCTCATAAAAATTACGGGATGACACTGTTGCTTGAAGGCTGAACATCTACAGCGGTCATTGCCACAAAATAAAATTATTTTTAAACCCAGCAGCTACAAGGCAAAGGATAACTTCATATTACCAGTAAATTCGGAGAGCAGATCAGCACTTCCTACTACCTAATATGTGATTATCCAGAAGACAGTGAAGAGACAATCTCAAAGCAATGTGTTCTGCCTGCGACACTTTTCCTCATTACAGCAAACAGGAATCCTGTATATTCATGGAACACCTAAGCATATACTATACTTATATACTATAAATATAGTACAACTACAAAACATAAGTTTCTTGAACAAGAAAATCATGCACTAAAGAAATCACATGGAAACTACTTCAGGACTCTAAACACAAAGACAGTTTACCGTCATCATACTGCTGAGACTGTTAGCAAGCTACGGTGGTTTTCCAATTTCCATTATATTGGTGCAGAATACATTTTTTTGCCTAAACTAAAGTTACATGTGATGTTTGTTATTGTAATACGACTGTTCTGTTGTATTTTTCTTTTAATTTGGTAGGACCAAATTAACATTATAAGTATCTGCCCTCTCAAGCTAAGGAGATAGGGTGACACAACTTAAAATTTTGATCCTTTCTCTTGTAAAAGTGAGTTTACATAAGCAACTACAATACTGCACTTTCAGGAGCTGCAGTGCGATAAAAATAAATGCATTTGAGGGAGAGTAACTCCTTTAGTAATTACATACAAAAACAGTACTGTTCATTGTCAAACACATAGTCAGAGTTAACAAACTATTACAATTATTACCACACTGCATTAACTGAAGAGTAAATGGCAAACTACAACAATTCACTTGATGCATAAACATTAAAATTCTATGTATTACACTATATGGCACAGCCAAATTCCATGCAATCTCATCCTAATAACACAAATGCAAAACCAAAACTTTAAGTGAAGGCTTGAGGTAAAATGAACGCCTACATAACACCATAATATAAACATAAGTATTGAATTTAGAAAAAAAAACAGTAAGTCTTCCTTTTGGTTGAGTTTCAAATTTCAGAAGGGGACATCAAGGAAAAAGGTAAAGATAAGCACTCTCTTTACACAGACAAACATACAGTATACTGTACATACTACACTGATTCTTTATTACTGTACATTCCATTTAACCATAGTCTGTATCTTGCCTTTAAAAAACTCCCACCTCTAACATGATATTTCCTTTCTGAAACTAAATAAAACCAGTCAAAACCAAAAGATGTGTCATATAAATTCTATACACATGACACACAGTATATCCAAGCAGTTTCTTTTGAATAATGAGGTTATTATTGTGTGAGTTTGCTTTTGAGTTTAATTTATAAAAGAAAATTTAACTGAAAGCAATGGACATTCAGTATAATTCATTAATTGATCTCTTTTCAAAAGACAAAGAAATGCAGGAAAGTTTTTTTCTGTAAAAGAAGAACCTTTCATGATATTTAATCATGAACTGTAATGCACAGTAATGAACTGCAATGAACTGTAATGACAATATTTGCATATTTTCAATACCTTTGTGTTTGTGCAAAGGACGTACTGCAGATTTAGGCTGGGTACAAACACATTTGCTACAACTGAATACAAGTACATTTCAGTTTACTACAGTACCAATAGAAAATATGGGTATCTCGAAAACACTGGCTCTCAACCTTTGAAATACAATGTCCCCCTTTCAGCTAACACAAAACCATACCCCCCACTTAGTGTATGGCTTAATAATTTTATTTAAACATTTTTAAAAATCATTTAATTTCAATTGTTATGTGTGAGCTTAATCTTACATCAATTAAAAATAATTTTACTTTAAAAACAGGGAAACAGATCAAAGGTAGTAAAATTCACATTTAAAATTAGTTTATTTAATTTAACAGTTCGCCTCAAGCATTGTCTATGTGAGGTCAAAAGCTGCTCATTTGCCACAAGTTTTGAAATCCTGTTTTATGGAAGAAACACAACGCAAGTCACTTTCAACATCAAGTCTGTTGCAATGCTTCTGATCATGGAAAGTGCAGAAATCTCAAGCTTTCACAGACGGGTGGATAAAAATGGCACGAGGAGGTGCAGAGTTTGCTCGCCTGTTTTGGGGTAGACAGGAAAGTGTTTCAACCAAAACATCTGTAAAGTTAACTGATGTTATGGGCAGTTGGGTCATATTTTATTTCCAAAAACTAGTTCCTTGTTCTCTGGCAAGGACTGAACTTCACAAATGAAAGGACTTTTCATGAGTTTCCAAATAAGATTTTCTCTCATTAGGTCCAGAAAGTATCTCTGGAATTCATCGTCTAAAATCGTCTTTCAAAGAATTTGCTGGTTAGCACCAGACACAAATCAGTGACTAAAACATTGCATATCAAGAGACCCTTGATTAGAAGGCAATTCTTTTGTTTCTATGTATAAAGTGCTGTAATTAATGTTGCCTTTTAGTCAGAAAAATTCAGTGCGTACTGTATTTCAAGTTAGTCATATATAAAAAGCTATCGTGGCCCCCTTTGGATGTTATGTGTCCCCCTAGTGGAGCACACCCCACCAGTTGAGAACCCCTGTGCTAAAGCATCACAATAATAGGCAATTTAAAAAAAATAATTATGGAGAACAAAGCCTTGGTCTTCCTGACCATTGCTTTTTTCCTAACTGTGCTTCTGTATCAAAAGGTCACGATTGTGGTGATGCATGGCCATGTGAAATAGAAAATTATTTTATTTAATGCAAATCCTCATAATGTTAGTCATACACAGCTGTGTGTGGTTGAGCAAGTGTGTACTGAAAAAAGAAAGAAAGAATGGAATCATTGTGCATTTGATCCCTGAATACATTTATATCGTTAAGATCAGAGACCAATGATACTGTGTCACGCTAAAGCACAGGAGCTCCTTCACCACGTTTTATGTATGGTCCGATCATTTCGAATGTTTTCACATTTTTTTAGTTTTGAATAAAAAGTATCTTTGTTTTCATTTTACTCCTGTCCCAGCTTACTTGTCTCTTGCACAGTGTTCAACTAAATGTTTTGTCCACAGACTTGACTCATAAGCTTTAAAATCCTACACACAGAGCAACAGTCAGAAATCATAACCAAGTGTTATGATATTTCTGTCAACTAAGAGTAAACATCTAAATAGCCAATACAATAACCAAAACTCCACAGAGGACAAAATTACTAATACAAGCTGATACTATCCGTGTCTAACATTTTAAAGATGATGATAATAATCTTCTTCTTCTCTAAAGAATATGGAGACCAGATCACCAGAGAACAACAACAAAAAATAATAAGTTAGAAACAAGTAATAGGTAAATTAATTACAACAAGAAATGGAGTGGGAGTTAGCTATCACACACACAGAAGATCATCCAGTAAGTCATTTACTTCCAAGTGTTTTACTTACCGTTGTGTCTACATGCTTCAATGCGATGTCATTACTTGGAGGCTGGGGAAAAGGAGAAGAGGGGGGAAGAAGAGCTGTTAGAAAGAGTAACCCATCTTAATATTAACCAAAAGGAGTGTAAAAGAAAACTCTTGCCACAGCAGCAACAACTGTCCAGCAAATCCTTTTATAGCCACAGCATTCCAGTGAGAGTTAATATTCCGTGTGGAAGCAAGACATTTTCACTCCATTAACCTTGGAGAATAAGGTAAATAACACACATTAAAAAAGAAAATTTTCTGTAGTCGCACACCCAGCTGACAGCTCATCCCTGGAACAGACACTTACACACATGTTGTAAGTTGATCTGGTGCTGACAGCAGTAGGCAATAAACTTACACTGAATGAAATTTATTTTCCTTTAAATGCAGAGAAGCAAACGGGCAGGTTTTTCTACTTGTAAAATGCAGAAAGATGCCTCCTGTTTGTCTGCTTTCATAGAAATACCTTTCAGAACTGTGGACATCTGTTATTCAAGATCAGCAAAGGCAGTTTTGACATTGATGTAGGAGTTTTCATCCATCAGAAATGGCTGCCTCCCCAGAGTATAATAAAGAACATTATCAGTGTGAGTCTCACTTGCAAATCTTTGGCAGTGAGTGCCACTTAATTGTTGTACTGGCTTCTATAGCTGGCTGAGGTTGATTCACCTGACTGCCAGAGACAGCTTTACAAACAGGACAGAAATTGTCATTTCTGGAGTTGGCCATGCCTTTTCTACTTGAACTGCTAAGTTTTATCACACATACAGTAGTGATAAAAGGTGCAGTTGAAAGATGACACAAATGATATGAAAACATATCAAGATATGCTTTTATTGTTGCAGATAAAACATGATGCTGATATAAAGAAAGACCTCTCCAAGCAAATTCCTACAGTACTTTAATTGCTCTTATTTGCTAGAAAAAATAGATTAATCCTGTGCAGATTTAGGAAAACAAAACTTGTATTATAAAGCTTATAAACATAAAATGTAGAGCAAACTGAAGCAGCCTGAAAATTCAAATATCATGTACTGTCATACTTAAAAAGATCATACACATTGAAGAAAAATCAGTTTAAAAGAAGAAAATAAGCTTGGTAGCAGTAGTCAATGTGAACACCAGACAAAGTATATCTCTGCATATGTGGGAGCATCTATAAACAATACATTTAAATATTTAGAAGAAGAAGAATTTCTTTTCCATTAGTCAGACATGTAAAGTTAGCAGAGAGTCTCTTGCAAACCATATACAGCAGTCAAGGCTTCATACCAACCACTCTGCCAAATGCCCATTCCCTGTCAAAGGAAGAAATCATTCTTTTAGAAAAAAAAATGTTTATTTATAAGAACTCAGGCTGCAGGAATCCATGATGTCATGTGCCAGGTTTAATCTGGTTTGTTTCAACTTGTTTATATTAAAGTGAGAGAGCTACCACGAACCAGAGCAATAGAAAAAAAAATCTGGAACTTGGATCTTTTACTAGTTGCTTTAAAAGGAAACGTGTTCTCAAGCATGTAAAGGGAAAATACTATTATTCTTTTTACTATATTCTCTGTCATTCTCAGTCATACTTTTCTAAGGTTAAAATAATAGCTAAGGAGATGAGCACCTGGTTTACCCTAGCTTCTGCTACAGTATGTTATGGCCTCATGTGGATGGATTTTTGAAGTGATATTATAGTAGTTCTGTGCTAAGCACAGACTTTTGTCTAATTAAGGCTAGTAACTACGACAGACTGTCAGGCAGGGTGGATTATAACAAAGAGGTAGTGTGGAGCTGGGGTGGTAAAACCTAAAATGAAATAACAACAGAAGAAACTCCAGTGCATGTTTAAATGGAGAACAAACATTAGTATTTATTTTAAAGGAAATTAAATAACATGCTCTGGCTATATAGGTTTCAGGTAATTTAATCAATCCAATAATCAATCATCATCTTGTAACACCACCATTCATAAAAATGAGTAGAAAAAAACAAGAAACACAAACAGAAAAAATTAAATGGCCTACTTAATAATGTATTTGGAGTACCCTTATATATTTTTCAACATGGAATTTATTGGATTTAAGCCATTTGCCTTGTAATGTTAGCAGTTACTCCAATAATTATGTATTTCTTTTTACTTCGGTGTGTCAGCCAATCAATTATGGTTATGGACAAAACTTCCAGAAGCAGCATTGACAAGTGAGCTTCCTTACAAAACAGGTATAAACACTTCCATATGATTCTATACATTTTTTTCTTTTATATATAAACAACTTAATGGAAATGCAATGACCTACTGTACTAAAGTGCTCAGTAGGCCTGAGGTTTAGCCTTTTAGACTCAAACCCTTAGAACTAAGTAGTATGGTGTCCAAAACAACTCCTATAAAATTATTATTATACATTGCAGCACAAAGATCCTCTTCTCACTATCACAAAGAAAGAAGAGTTACTTGTTAATCTTATTCTAATATTAACTGATTTCAATGCTTCTAAGACTAAGGCTATGAAGCGTAATATGGTAATACCACCCTGTAGCCCCCTGCAATATTTTTTTAAGATATCATCCACTGACCTGAAGTTCTCAGTTGTGAAATAAACATGTATCTTACTGCCTAAATGTGTATTCCTAAACTGGTTTTCATTTTTCTTTTCCTCTCAATTCTAAGTTGTGTCTATAAGGATGAATTAAAACATATGAGTCCCTTCTCCCTATTCAGGAGTAATTTGCTCAGTCACTAGTATGTGATAAAATTTCCAGTTAGTCACAATGGAAAATCTGATCTTTCATCTCCTACAGAGTGAGAACAAGCCACCTTAGCATAATAACTTCATTCAATTTAATAAATTATCCAAGATTTTGTGGATCTTTTGTGCAAATCCATGTGTGCAGGATTACCAATGTTAGTCATCATTAATAACTCAAATTCAGACATTCAGACATTTATTAATTATTTGCTAATTTTGAATATTGCAATATTAGAGGGCCCAAGTACAGATATGTGAGATTGCTTGAAAAACACAGCTACAATATAAAAGAAAAAAAAAATCATGAAGTCTGTCTTTGAACAGGCTGAGATTAATATTTTATGAAAATAAACCCCTCACACTCTCCAAAACAACATTGTGCTCATTTTCAAGAGGACTGTGAAACTTGTATCAGAGGTTTGGTTTGGCCATCAGTGAAGGTTAGGTCATTGCAGCAAAGCAATACTGCAGACTATGGATTGCCTAGAATTCAGCTTGTGGTCTGCTATGCCTCTTTTCAGTACAGGAATGATATTTAAATGCAGAAAGGCTTAAACATTTTCACAGGTTTCATCTCTTAATACCTGCTTTTATATTTAATAAATATCATAGTAGGTTTCTTGGACCATTTTTCCATGTACTCTGTACTGTACCTCAATACATTACTATGTTCTATACTAAACACAAAAATGGGGTTACTTATAACAAATTCCTTAATTAAAGTTATCCATGCTGAATTTGCACAATATTTCTGATGTTCACCTATCTTTTTTAATCTTGATATCCCAGTTACCAAAGAACTAGTATTTATTGTGCTGTAGCACAGCTTTCTTTTGTTTATATATTTCTTTTACCAGGCAATGCACTGGAGACCCATTTATCCAGCAGGGCATTTACTGTAGTAATTTGTGTGAAGTATTTTGCTCAAGATCACAACAACTGCATACTACCCATTATTTGGGACCCCAGCATTCAGCATTATAACCACTACTATTTGTTGCTGTTTTGCCAAGAGTTCACCACGGTTTACTACATTAAATATTAAATTTAACATGGTAAGCCTTTTTAAAATACTGGATTTTTTGTTAGTTTATATTTGTTGGGGATTACATTAGTGCTGGATGAGGCCATGTTGATTCACAGTCTGACTAATGAATGTGCATGATTCCCAGCACAGTGGCTTCTTTATGTACAGTATACTACACCAGTATAACCACGTTTCTAATGGAGTGCCCTACATTTTTTTTTAATTTATCAAGCAAGGTGTTGTAAGCAGTTTGCTAAAAGCTATTTTTTCACTCTTCGTTTGCAAGTTTACAGTGCTTACAATGCCAGAGGGATGAATACTTCAGTCGGCAACTCAGAGAATAGGTACAGACTGGAAGGGAGCAGGGAATTTTAGAATGTGTGGAAATAAAAGTATTTCTCATGAAAAGTGCCTTTCGAAAACGCAACAGTATGAACTTCACTAATTTCAAAATACACTTTTGTATACATCAACAAAGTCCTGTAACAATGTTGTGTTTTGTTTCCGCTAACCTGAAAGCTCATTCAGTACTGTCTCATTACAAATTGAGGCCTCTTTGGAAAGATGTGGGGGGAATATTTTTCATCAGAGGGCTGTGAGAGGGTGGTTGCCAGCTGTGGTGTTTGAATCAGCTTGGAACCACCCCTCCCTGCCTAAGAAGTAGGGTAGGACAACTGCAGCAGGAAATAAGCTTCTTCACCCGCCACAGCTCAAATTAATTCCAGCGTGCTTGCGGTTTGGGATAAGTTGGGCTCAAGGCGGTTTGTTGGTCTGACCTTTGCTTGCCTGCCTGCCTTCATCAAGATTTTGAACTGGCTTTTTTGTTAGCATAGATCCCTAGAACTCACAAATATGTTGTCTGTGGTTGCATTTTATTCTAAAAAGCATGTGTGTTTTCTTTCTTTTTAAAGACCAGCCTTTATCTCAATTTACCAGTTCTGGCTAACCAGAATGTAAGAGCTACATCCTCACGGGTATTATATATCATGGCCTTCACTGCATCATTCTCATATTTTTTGTATTATTTTTATTACACAGACGTCACCACATTTGCATTCATTCTTAACTAAGTCAAAGGATTTTTAGAAATCCTTAGAAATGTATAGATAAGATTTAAAATATATACAGTATTTAAAAAAAACTGCCTGAGATATTAAAGTATAATGTTAAAACCTGAGGAATTAAACATGTGAAGTATGACATAAAGTTCATACATTTGTTTAAAAGTTTTTAAATACTTTTTGCACAATTAAGAAAGTG